TACTCTGGAGGCTGAGGCAGGAGAATTGCTTGAACCCGGGAGGTGGAGGTTGCAGTGAACCAAGATCGCACCACTACACTCACTCCAGCCTGGGCAACAAGAGCAGAACTCCCTCTCAAAAGAAAAAAAAAAAAAAAAAAAAAGTGTGATCTGATACTACCACTACCTAGGAGGGAGATGGAAGTAAGCTATACTACAGTCAAGTTCCTATATGTATGTAATAGAAGTAGTATTAATATAAAATCGATTGTTTGCAATAGATTGAGATGCATAGTGTCGTCCCTAGAGCAACCACAAAGAAATCCCATCAAGGGGATATGCTGCACATTGAAAATATAAATGGAAACAAACTAAACATTGCACAACTCAATTTTTATACTGCAACAATGTAAAGTACCTGTAAATGTGATATTAATCTTAACTACATAGTCAAAGAATATAGAATGTAAATAAATATACAATTACTGAGAAAGTTAATAAATCCTTCATTTTATATTTCTTTACGAATAATCCTCAGTAATGCTGAGGTACATTGTATCAAAGGTACATTTTCCCTTACACAATCAAATGCTCAAAAGACATACATAAAGATCACATTATTCTCTACATCAGCACTCCCCAACCCTTCTGGCATCAGGGACTGGTTTTGTGGAAGACAGTTTCTCCACAGACTGGGACTGGGGCCAGTGAGTGGGCAGAGTTCAAGATGAAACTGTTTCACCTCAGATCATCAGGCATTAGATCCTCATAAGGAGCACACAACCTGGATCCCTCACATGCACAGTTACAACACGGTTCCTGCTCCTGTGAAAATCTAATGCCCCTGCAGATCTGACAGCAGACAGAGCTCAGGTGGTAATGCTTGTTTGTCAACCAATCACATCCTACTGTGTGGCCCAGTCTACACAGGGAGTGGGTGTTAGGGACCCTGGCTCTACATTAAAAAGCCAATTCTTATGCAAAATACAAGTGATACTTTAAATAAACCTTAATAAGATTTGAAAAAATCTATAATTTTACATATTTATAGAATTATAAACCAATACAACAGCTCTATATTCACAGAAATGCTTTCAAGTTTTAAAACCCATGACTAGTCTTTTCAGAATGCACAGTAAAGATTAAATACACAATCTTAAATTTTTTTAAAAATGCATACAGGCTGGGCGCAGTGGCTCACGCCTGTAATCCCAACACATTGGGAGGCTGAAGTGGAAGGATCTTGATCCCAAGAGTTCAAGACCAGCATGGGCACTATAGCGAGACCCCATCTCTACAAAAAATAATTTTTAAAAATTAGCCAGGTTTGGTGACACACCCCTGTGGTCCCAACTACCCAGGAGGCTGAAGTGAGAAGAACTGCTTGAGACCAGAAAGTTGCAGCTGCAGTGGTCATAATCCTATCACTAGACTCCAGCCTGGGCAACATAGTTAAAACCTATCTCAAAAAATAAATAGGGCCAAGCACGGTGGTTCATGCCTGCAATCCTAAGACTTTGGGAGGCCGAGGCAGGCGGATTGCTTGAGCTCAGGAGTTCAAGACCAGCCTGGGCAACACGGTGAAACCCCATCTCTACTAAAATACAAAAAATTAGTCAGGCACGGCAGCGTGCACCTGTAGTCCCAGCTACGCAGGAGGCTGAGGCAGGAGAACTGCTTGAACTCAGGAGGCGGAGGTTGCAGTGAGCCAAGATTGCGCCACTGCACTCCAGCCTAGGCAACAGAGAGAGACTCTGTCTCCAAAAATAAATAAAAACTAAGAGAAATAAATAGGCCGGGTGTGGTGGCTCACATCTGTAATCCCGACACTTTGGGTGGCCAAGGTGGGTGGATCACCTGCAGTCAGGAGTTGGAGACCAGCCTGGCCAACATGGTGGAACCCCGTATCTTCTAAAAATAAAAAAAATTAGTCAGGTGTGGTGGTGCGTGCCTGTAGTCCCAGCTACTTGGGAGGCTAAGGCAGGAAAATCACTTGAACCTGGGAGGCAGAGGTTGTGGTAAGCCGAGATCATGCCACTGCACTCCAGCCTGGGTGACAGAGTGAGACTCTGTCTCCAAAATTAAATAAATAAAGCAAGCTTGCCATAACCAATTTACCTGATGCTTTTGTTAGGCTGACTGTCACCTTTACAATTTTGCCGTTGTTTGAACCTCTGGCTTCTTCGAAGTTTTTCATGGAATTTTTGACCAATTTTAAAATCTGAAGAGATTTTCTTCATTTTTTCTTCAAATAAGGCAGATAATCTCAAGGTCATACTATAAATCTGCAAGGATATAAAAACAAAGTAGAATTACAAAATAGCCTTAAAAGTATTTGAGAAATCATTGTGATCATTGAGATCACTTGCAATATATTATATCACTGCTTACAGGTAATGGCTGTCACCCATTTTTTTTTCTATTTCCAACCGCCTTCCCTTAGTGACATCTAGAATTAACAAGAAGTATCAAATACATACCTCTCAGATGATAAGAAAGTAGTTTGAAGTCAAGCATCTACATTCAGGACTTGTGTCTATATGTCAGTGAATCTCAACTGTTTTTGCCTATTCTAACATCTGTATGTACAAACCCAAAAATATACCCTTCTCCCAAAGTTAGATGGCAAGTTGATTGGTTTTAGGGCTGCTATTTAGGCTACAGAAGCACTGTGTCTCTTTGGGGCAAGGGAACAAAAGCACTTTTATATACCAGTCTCTATCTGCAATCTGTTTTTAATGCCACCTAACTCTAAAATGAAACAAAACTACCTTGCATCCAGTAGTAGAAAGTATAACACAGAATGTTAATGCATATGAAAGATTTAACAATGTTTATAATTAAATAACATCAAATCTTAAATACTTTTGGATACAGCTATGCATGTACAGAAGTACTCTATACTCCTCCACAACCTTTCCTGAAAATAATTGCAAAAGTCTGATGCTCAAAAGTTAAATATAAGTCTTGTGCATGGCAGTGGTGGCGAAGACACTCCAATGCTAGAAAACTTTTTTAAAAAGTATGTGAGATATACAAATTTCTTACATGCTTCTCATATACATATATATACACACTCACAAATGAATGTGAAATTTGTTATACTTAATCTGAAATAACCTTTGACAGTTATTTTCAATATTTCATATATATGAATTTTATTCTGCCAGGCACAGTGGCTCACACCTGTAATCCCAGTACTTTGGGAGGCCGAGGCAGGCAGATCACTTGAGGTCAAGAGTTCAAGACTAGTCTGGACAACAACCGTGAAACCCCATCTCTGCTAAAAATACAATAATTAGCTGGGCATGGTGGTACACACCTGTAGTCCCAGCTACCCGGGAGGCTAAAGCAGGTGAATTGCTTGAAACCAGGAGGTGGCGGTTGCAGTGAGCCAAGATCTCGCCACTGCTCTCCAGCCTGGGCAACAGAGTGAGACGGTCTCAAAAAAAAAAAAAAAAAAAAGAAAGAAAAAAACACACACACACAAAAACAAAACTTCAAAAGTAACAAGTGTTGGCAAGGATGTGAACAAACTGGCCTTTATACATTGCCAGTGGGAATATAAAATGGTGCAGCCAATATGGAAAACAGTGTAGTGGTTCCTGGAAAAGGTAAACATGAATTATTCAATGACCCAGCAATTCTACTCTTAGGTCTATACCCAAGGGAATTGAGCAAGGTTTCTGACAGATACATGTATTCCAGAATTTGCTGCAGCATTACTTGTAATGGTCAAGAAGTAGAAACAGCCCAGCTGGCCATCGATAGATGAATGAGTAAGATATGGTATAACCACACACTTTAATACTATTCAGCCATAAAATGGAATAAAGTTCTGATACATGCTACAACATGCATAAGCCTTTAAGGCATTACACTAGTGAAATAAATAAGTTGTACACAAAAGGACAAATATGGGAAGATCTCAATTTTTATATGAACTTATCTAGGACAGGCAAATTCAGACACAGAAGTTAGAAGTTTCCAAGGACTGGGGGTAAGGGGAAATTATTGCTTGATGGTTACAGAGCTTCTGTCTGGAATGATGAAAAAGTTTTAGAAATATTATAAATATAAATGATGTCACTGAATTGTACTCATAAAAATGGCTAAAATGGCAAATGTTATATATAGTTAACCATAGTTTTGAACAACTGACAATGTACTATATCAAAAACCACTGAACTAAAAGCTTTCAGTGGTGAATCGTATGGTGTGCATCCTCAAACATGTATTTGAGGGGTGCAGGGAAGACTTGAATGAAATTTATTTTGTCTCTGAAAAAATACAGTCTTACAAATGGTGACTGACAAAAATCCAAGCTTGGAAAAATGTTAGCCTTGAATGTTAAACTGATCCAGCAAGCAGTATGAATCCTGAATCCAACAAAGAGTTCTCAAATTGAGACTAGAGGCAGTAATGCAGTAGGAGTCTAATATTAAGTAATGACAGGGAAATGCAGTTAAAGCAAAATAGTTAATGTCACTGATTGCAGACACCAAAAAATGTTGTAAGATCAAACAAGTGTTTTACTTTAAATATGACTTTTTACAATTACTCAACACACAAACTACATGGAGTCTTGCTCTGCTGCCCAGGCTAGAGTGCAGTGGCATGATCTCGGCTCACCACAACCTATGCCTCCCAGGTTCAAGCGGCTCTCATGCCTCAGTTCAAGCGGTTCTCATGCCTAATGCCTGTAGTTGGGATTACAGGCAAGTGCCAGCACACCCAGCTAATTTTTTTATCTACAGTAGAGAAGAGGGTTCACCATGTTGACCAGGCTGGTCTCAAACTCCTGACCTCAAGTGATCTGCCTACCTTGGCCTCCCAAAGTCCTGGGATTACAGGCCTCATCAAGTTTTGAAAAGTTACCCAATGTGTAACATGTTAACAAAACTTTAGTAAAACATTCTCCTGAAACTGTGTGCCCCAAAGAGTTAAAGAAACCAATAACTAACAAAAATTCTTAAGTTTACAAAATGACAAAAAAAAAAAAAAAACCCAACCTACTAAAACACTGAAACTCCCTCTGCTTACGCGATAAGAAGAACTGGCTGAAACTGGTTAAAACCAGCATGGCCAAGTGGAGTCTGCACAGAATGAGCCTGCCTACATCAGAGCCTGAATTTCCAGCATGTTTCACACTAACTTCCCCCAAATTTGCACACGCAACCCATCAAATAACATAAAGAAATAACCACACATGCCCAAAGACTTTCCAGACCTCTCCTTTCCTTCCACTAATCACCTACTAATCTCAGAATCCATACCCTGAACCTTTTCTTTAAAAAAAAAAAAAAAAAAAAATACTGCTTTAAAGCCAGCACAGGAGTCAGATTTGAAATTCACTCCTGTCTCCTTGGGAGTCAACTTTCAATATAAAGCTTATTCTCAAAAACCCAGTGTCACCACTTCACTTGAGTAGGCTAGAAGAAAAAAAAGAAGAAAAAGAAAAACCCTGTGTCATAATATTAGCTTCTAATACATCAAGTAAAGAGCCTCCATTGGCTCTATAACATTATTTGTGGTCTTAATCAAGAGAGCTCATGTGTTGTTTCTTCAAATCCAAATGTTCTTATGCTGTCAGTAGTCTCACGATCAGATTTTCCTTTTTACTTTTAATATTCTTACAGTCTTGATCTATGTTTCCAATCCACTTAAGATCCCTAAACATACAAAACACAGAGGCTCTTACTCTGTGTATCAAATTTGTTCACTTTCTATTGATACCTACTCCCATTAATCCCCACTTGCTTATAAAACTTAAGGAGATTATGATAAACATCAACTGATGAAAGGCAAAAACTAAAGATATTTGGGCAGTAGCAGAAGCTCTTTTCTTTATAATACTCTCACTTTATTCATTTATCTTTAATGTTCTAACCTCTACTACACAGTGAAAATTACAGTGGAAAAAATTACTATTACATTGGAAAATTATCTACACAGATCAGGCAGTTTTTTTCAATAAACCACTTAAAAAATTACCTTTGATCTTTTGTTTGGTGTATATGCTTTTGCATTGCTAAATATCAACCGGATGTCTTTGCAAAACTCCAAAGGGCTGTCATAATTTCCCGCATCCAGAGTTTCCCTTACTGTTCCAAAATCCATTGGGGTATCTATAATATCTCTGTAGTCCTAGGTTTTAAAAACAATGATTAATTCATAGATTCATTTTTTGCTTTTATAAATGTAAATGCCATCAGATCTCTAAAAAATTTGAAATGATGGAAGAGAGGAAAAGGTTAGAGGACTCTTAAAATTCATTACTAATGTTTAAAAAGAGGTATAAAAACAAAGACAAGATAGAAAGAAATATACCAAAATGTTAATGTCTATTTATTGTTAGTGACACATGGGATGGTTTTATTTCCTGCTGTATATACTCCAAGCGTCCTACAGTCACTCTGTGCTGTTATAATCCAACTTGTTTTTATAAAGTCATTTTTCAATTTCCCTTTTTAAAGAGTGCAAACGACACTTTTATCCAATTCATAGTTTTCCTAGTGCTAGCCCTACTTAGAAATCTAAGTAGATCCATCCCATTGTTATGTAATACTGGTTTCCTAAGTCTAAATTCTTAAATGAGTTACAAGGGTGTCTATAAATTGAAGAAAACTATGTAAAACACTACTTCTACCACTAACTTAGTGATAAGAGCAAAAAAGTTAACATAAAGCCTAGGTATCTTTCTCTTTAAAGTTTAATAACTCTACCCCAGTTTCCTCACTGCAAAGCAAGAAAAGCCCCAAACATTTAAACAATGGAAACTTACTGGATATTCAACCAAATCAACAGGTTGTCTAAATGGTTCAGAATCTTCACACTGAAAAATTAAGTTCACTAGTTCCTTACACTGTTTCTTCCAGTTGTTTTCAACATAGTTGGTAGCTCTGATGCTTTTTTTCCCATCATGGACCTAAAAATACATTCACAGTCTTAAGAAAAATCACACTATTGGTGTAAGACTGTGGCAAAAATGTAACTGATCTACTGTCTTCTATAAAAACACAATGATGTCATATATGTTGCTCTCAACACACTCTTCCAGAAATGAAATTTTTAAACTATTCATATAACACATTTTGATACAACTTAACCAATTTCAGAAATATTACAAAGTTAGCTATGAAAAGCATACTCTAACGAGAGTACATTATCTAGTGAAAGGCTATTCCATGACCTCTCACCTCCCAGGTTTATAATATTTGTTTTCCCAGAATATGAAGCATACCTGATAATGTGACAGGCAGAATAAATGGCCCCACCAAAGATGTTCAAATCATAATCCTCAAAACCTATGACTATGTTACCTTACATGAGAAAAGGTATTTTGCATTAAGGGTATAGACCTTGAGATGAAAGATTATCTTGAATTGATTGCTTGGACCCAGTGTAGTCACAAAAGTTATTATAAGAGGGAGACAGAAAGGTCAGAGTCAGAGACAGACTGAAAAATGCTATGTTGTGGGCTTGAAGATGGAAAAAGGGGACTTGAAGCCAAGGTGAGGACACCCACTAGAAGCTGGAAAACGCAAATAACTCTCCCCAAGAGCTTCTAGCCACACCAAGACCATGATTCTGACCTAGAGACCCATGAAAACTTCTAATGTACAGAACTATCAGGTAATACGTTTTTATTATTTAAGCAACTAAATTTGTCATTTGCTGCAGCAGACATAGCAAATAAATACAAAAACTAAACACTTGGGTGTTGCAGGAAGTCAGGGACCCCAAACGGAGGGACCGGCTGAAGCCATGGCAGAAGAACATAAATTGTGAAGATTTCACAGACATTTATTAGTTCCCCAAATGAATACTTTTATAATTTCTTATGCCTGTCTTCACTGCTATCTCTGAACATAAATTGTGAAGACTTATCACTTCCCCAATCAATACCCTTGTGATTTCTTATGCCTGTCTTTAATCTCTTAATCCCATCATCTTCGTAAGCTGAGGAGGATGTATGTCGCCTCAGGACCCCATGATGATTGCGTTAACTGCACAAATTGTTTGTAGAGCATGTGTGCCTGAACAATATGAAATCTGGGCACCTTGAGAAAAGAACAGGATATCAGCAATGTTCAGAGAACAAGAGAGACAACCTTAAACTCTGACTGCCGGTGAGCCTGGCAGAACAGAGCCATAGTTCTCTTCTTTCAAAAGCAAATAGGAGAAATATTGCTGAATTCTTTTTCTCAGCAAGGAACATCCCTGAGAAAGAGAATGGCCCCTGAGGGTAGGCCTCTGAAATGGCCACTTTAGGGATGGCTGTCTTTTACGGTTGAAACCAAAGGGATGAAATAAACCCCGGTCTCCTGTAGTGCTCCCAGGCTTATTAGGACGAGGAAATACCCGCCTAATAAATTTTGGTCAGACAGGTTGTCTGCTCTCAAACCCTGTCTCCCGATAAGATGTTATCAATGACAATGCGTGCCCAAAACTTCATTAGCAATTTTAATTTCGCCCCATCCTGTGGTCCTGTGATCTCACCCTGCCTCCATTTGCTTTGTGATATTTTATTACCCTGTGAAGCATGTGATCTCTGTGATCCACACCCTATTCGTACACTCCCTCCCCTTTTGAAAATCACTAATAAAAACTTGCTGGTTTTACGGCTCAGGGAGCATCACGGAACCTGCCAACATATGATGTCTCCCCCGGACACCCAGCTTTAAAATTTCTCTCTCTGGTACTCTTTTCCTTTATTTCTCAGACCAGTCAACACTTAGGGAAATAGGAAAGAACCCACATTGAATATCGGGGGTGGGGTTTCCCCCGATACTTGGGAGTCTAGAAATAAAAATTATATGAAAATAACTAATCATATTAGACTATTTCAGGTCTAACTTTTCAGTGTTCTGGAAGGCAAGCACATGGTATAAATTAATATTTCATAAAAAGCTTAAATTTAAGGAGCATTTGGAGGAAACTTAAAATGATCTTAAAATGTTAAGCATTTTCATATTAATAATCTTTCATTTTAATTACTCTATTATATTTGAACTTCAAAGCCTGCTGATGATACCACATTATGATTACCCAATTTTATAAACTTTGTTCCATAGACCCTTCTCCTTACCCCTCAACCTCATTGTCCCAACATATCTCCATTTTAAAAAAAAGTTCAGTCACCAAATCCTAGTTAGTTTTCCCTAAAAAGGTCTCATAATTTTCCTTTCCTCTGCATTCCCATGCAAATATCCTTGACTAGCTACCCATCCTTCACCCTATATTCTTGCAATGAACTCCTAATTCATCTCCTTTAATACACATCTTCTTATCCTTCAAACTGTATTATCTATTTTGGCTGTTCAATTGATTCTCTACTTTAAATGAAATCCTTGGATTTCAATATCACCATAATCTACCCCAATCATAATAGCCAGACATAGCCACTTTGGTCACTTCAACATCCAACCTCTACACCAGTCGGGTGTAGTGCCCTCAACAGTCTAGGGACATGCCATGCCATATTTCTCTACTTTTTTTGTCTTTCCTGTGGTATCCTCTATTTTTTGAATGGCCTCTTCTTACTCCACCTCACTCTGATAATACAGTACAAATTCCAACTCTCCCACTAAACCTTTTCAGTAATTTCTCCCATTTTGGTAATAAAATATTCAATGTCTACATTGATATAACTTTTCAAAGACAAAAACTAAAATCCTGAATTGATTTTAAAACAAAGAAAAAGCAAACTACAAAAGTCAGCCATGCAGAGTAACTTACTCTTCTTCTTCCAGAAGATGTTTTAGGAAGATCACTATCATCCTAGGAATAAAATCAGAGCACCTTAAGTATTTAGAGTCTCATTAGAAAATAATAACCTTAATTATTAAGGTTAATTATTAAGATTAAGAAAATATAATCTTAATAAATAACATATCAAAGACATTTGGTATTACTAGAGTTAAAACATGTTATTAACAAAATCTCCAAAGAAAGACTACCAGATGATCTTTGTGGCACCCAGGCTTGGAAAAAAAAAAACAAACAGTCATTCCTAATAATCCTTTTTCATTCCCTAAGAACATGAACTAATTCTAAAATTCAAAATTACAGTTATAAAAAGACACTTCATGCATTTCCTAAACAGAAAACTTGTGTTTTACCTCTATCCACAAATCCCCAGAAACATACAGATTCCTATAGTTTCTGGATTTTGTGTTCTATAGTACAGGCATGCGCTACCCCAGCTAACTTTTTTATTTATTGTAGAGACACGGTCTCAAACTTCTGGCTCAAGAGATCTTCCCATCTCAGCCTGCTAAAGCACGGGAATTACAGGTGTGAGCCACTGTGCCCAGTCTCCAAGGTACTTTATATAATACACCTTTCACTAGCTAAAATATAGTAAGAGAATATATTCCATACCTAAAATTATTCATTTATATTTTGATATTAGCTAAAACAAATTACCTCATAAATCATCTAGAAAACTCAAAAACATATTTTTATCAAATGCCCTATTTATTCATTGGACTACTGCAAGAGTCGATACTAGAAAGCCAACATTTTCTTCTTCACTTTTTAAAAATGCCATTTGAAATTAACAAAAACCATTATAAAATCAACAAACTTCATACCAAATCCTCAGCATTTTGCTCATCATTTTCAGATGTGTTAGAAAGTTCTGAGATATTTGTACAGTGTTGATTCCTAAAAAACAAATTTTCACTTTAATAGTATGCAGATGTAGTGACTTGTGGGCAAGGATTCAAACTATACATTATAAACAGTTCGCCAACCTATACATGCCTAATTTCAAACAGAGGAATATCAGGTTTTTCCCCAACCCTTTGTGAACATAACTAGTCATCTTAAATCCTAATTTAGAATCTTGAAGGTTTTTCTTGTTTTCCGTTAAGTATGTATCCAGATTAAGCAGGTAATCCAGAAATAATATATGTATGGCCTCAACTGGATGAATATATGGATGAGTTTTTCTAAGTATCATCACTAGCAGTATTCACACAATAAGTACCAGGAAAACAGTTGATTTAAAGTAAAAAAAAAAAAAAAAAAAAAAAAAAATATATACATATATATATGAAAAAGGAATTGAAATTAAAGCAAATAGTTATCTTACTGTACACACAGGAGAAAAAGAATGCTAAAATACGGATATCTAAGCATAAAGGAAACAAATATGGGTATATAATTTTCCTGAAGAAAAAGATGATGATTCTAGGGAGGAGGTAACTTAAGTATGAGTCCCCCAAGACTTAGGACAGAATCAACCCAAGAAAGCTGACAGGAATCAGTTACTCCCCAGTTTTCAGCTAGATGCTGAAAACGATGGCACTGTTTCTAAATTAAGAATGCTCACTAGAATACAGCAGACTAGAACCTGGGTCTCAATTTCCAAGTCAGTTTATATTCTTTGATTCCTAATTGACTCCTGAATACAAGAAAATCTATAGAATATTCACACGTATACAAACATTTTCACAGGACATAATTTGAAACAGATTAAAATTCAACATAATCATGAGAAAATAACCAAACAAACTCCAATTAAGTATACTCTATAAAATAAGTAACATTTATAAAAATGATGAAGTGATAAAGACAGAGGAAAAAATTGAAGGAGACTAAGAAAACAAAACGCTACATTTGATGGGGAATCTGGATTAGATCTGAAACATGAAAGGGTGTAAAAACTAGTGAAATCCAAATAAATTCTACACTTTTTGTCAATAGCATGGTACCAAGTTTTTTGTTTTTTTTTTTTAACATTTCATAAGTATACCGCAGTTATGTAAAATGTTAACCTAAGAGGAGACTAGATGAAAGGCAAATGGCAACTTTCTGGAGTATAAAATTATTTCAGAATTTTAAAAAGTTGAAAAACTGAATTATTCAGTTTCTGAGACTTTTACTGAAATTATGTATGTAAAGAAATGTCATCTAAACTAAAGCATTAAAAGAGTATAGTTCTGAGTAAAAAATACAACTAGATTTTTTTTTCTTTTTTCTTTTTTTTTTTCCTCTGGAGACAGAGTTTCACTGGTCACTCACGCTGCAGTGCAATGGCACGATCTGGGCTCACTGTAACCACCACCTCCTGGATTCAAGCAATTCTGCCTCAGCCACCTGCCACCACGCCCGGCTAATTTTTGTATTTTTTTAGTAGAGACAGAGGTTTCACCATGTTGGCTAGACTAGTCTCAAACACCTGACCTCAAGTGATCTGACCACCTCGGCCTCCCAAAGTGCTGGGATTAACAGGCATGAGCCACCACGCCCAGTAAAACTAGATGATTGTTAATAGCATAATATGCAGTCACTTTTACACAATATCTATGAGATTACTTACTTGATAAATTTTAAAAGTTGGTCAGTTATCTTTTTAGCTGATCTTGCAATTACACTCTCAGGTTCGTTAAATGTTCTGGCATTATGTTCTATATATCTGACTTCCCAAACTAACGCAGACAGCCTCCTTCAAAATAAAGTAGACAATTTACGGCTTAATGAGAAGATAGAAACCAAGTGAAAAAATGCAGCATGTGAATTAAACAACTGTGAAATAATAATTAAACCATAAGTGCAAAGTTATAATGAATAACCTTCTAATGCTCTCAACTTGATCATAGTCATAGGCAATTACACTGGACACCGAAGCAATTATGCTGAAGAGGACAAACATCTTAACAAATTACTTAATCACATACAGAAAACCAACAAAACTACATTCCCTTTTCACACTGCGTATAGGTACCTTTTAAAATTGTTGAATCTCAATAAAGAAAATATGTCAAATATCATCAACCCTAAAAGCTGGCCCAGCAAGGTGACTCACCAACACTTTGGGAGGCCAGGGCAGGAGGACAGCATGAGCCCAGGGGTTCAAGATCAGCCTGGACAACATGGCAAAACCCCATCTTTACCAAAAATAAAAATGAAAAAATCAGCCAGGTGTACCGGTGCGCACCTGTAGTCCCAGCTATTCAAGAGGCTGAGATGGGAGGATCACGTGAGCCTGGCAGTCGAGGCTACAGTGAGCTATCATCATGCCACTGCACTTCAGCCTAGGTGACAGAGCAAGACTCTATCTCAAAAACAAACAAAAAAACAAACAAACAAAAACTAAGAGCTTCAGTCTCACTGTAAACGATCCAGTGGTTTCTGAGTGGAACGCACATTCCAGTGTTAAATTACAGAGATAAATTACATCAATAATGCGGACTCAAGATGACTTTTTATAATTTGTTAAACTAGTTGAATTATAAGTTAAAATACAATCAACTGCTGTAAAAATCATTAAGAATAGGAAATTTTATACTTACCAGTGTTCCAGAAGCCAAAGATAAAAAGTCAGTGCCTCTGGGAAATTAATCTTCCAAAGGCCAAAGAGACCAAGTATTAACTATATAAATATTATTTTTAAATGTAGTTAAATAGAAATTTAAACATACAAAGAAAAAAAATACAGTATCTAACAACTTAACAAAATTTCTAAGAAAAACAGATTACTAAAGATTGAGGGTTGAGGCCCTGACTCGGACCTTCCCTTCTCTAGCCAGGCCTGACCAGCCCCACAACTCTCAGCCTCCTACTGATGTCGGATGTGAGAGCCTGTGCTTAAATAAGATATCAGGCCTTACTGGAGACACTCAAGGAAAGATTGAACAACTATTTTTCCAGAGTAGAAAGGAAACTCATGCACCAGAAAGGCTGGAAGTATATGGCTGTGTAAATAACAGAATCTACTCAGAACAGTTTAAGGAATTTCTTGGGACCTACAATAAACTTACAGAAATCTGCTTTTTGGACTGTGTTAAAGACCACAACAAAAGTAAAGTCTGAAGAGACCACCTGTTCAGAACACTGCTGACAGAAATATATTTAACTTTTAAGTTCAGGGGTACAAGTGCAGGTTTGTTACACAGGGAAACTTGTGTCACAGGGGTTGGTTGCACAGATTATTTCATCACCCAAGTATTAAGCCTAGCACCCATGAGTTGTTTTTTTTGATCCTCTCCTTCCTCTCACCCTCCAAAAGGCCTTAGTGTGTTTTGTTCCCCTGTGTCCATGTGGTCTTATCATTTAGCTCCCACAAAAATATTTATTTTATTATTATTATTTTTTTAATTGCTTAGACAGAGTCTCACTCCGCCACCCAGGCTGGAGTGCAGTGGCACGATCTCAGCTTACTGCAACCTCCACCTCCCGGGTTCAAGCGATTCTCCTGCCTCAGCCTCCCAAGTACCTGGGCTTACAGACACGTGCCACCATGCCTGGATAATTTTTGTATTTTCAGTAGAGACAGGGTTTTACCATGGTGGCCAGGCTGGTCTCAAACTCCTAGCCTCAGGTGATCCACCTGTCTGGGCCTCACGAAGTGCTGGGATTACAGGCATAAGCCAATGCACCTGGCCTCCTACAAAAATATTTTTAAATGACACAAAGATTATCCAAGAGATTTCAGGAATATCATATTCAACAGAATGAAGCCCTGGCAGCCAAAGCAAAATTACTTGGCCAATCACAATAGGTAACTCCTGATGGACGGACTTTTGATGAAAGACTGCCAACAGCTGCTGCACTGGAAATGAGGATTCATCTGACAGAATTTCCTGGGAGCAGTAGTCACCCTGTTAAACCATCTGTCATGAGTGTGGCAAATGAAAACCACTGGAGGAAAAAAAACCACTATTTACCAAGAATAATTAAAATAGAAGGTCTTATTGTTCAAATAATAAGACACAACATTTATTGAGGCCTTAAGATTCTGCAGCTCAGTTACGTGATTAGAAAAACAACTGTTTCTTCAATTGTGGCTGTTAATTTTAAAACAAATTATGTCTTCAATCATATATGAGGATAGAAAAGTACCAGTGAAATGTTACTGAAATAAATGGGATAAAAGTAAAATTTCAGTGATATGGAAATAATCACTGAAAAAAAAATCGAGGGTGAAATATGGTAGTCAATCTTCTGCCCGGCCCTACCCACACCTACCCATGGACATCTAACACCATCTGACAATGAAAGAGAATAATGAAACAAAAATGTTCATCAGCCCCCAATTCTACCACTATCTCTTCCTTTGTTTACCCTAGTCAATATTGCCAAATATAGCTTTTTAAACTATTTTGAAAGCAGGTTTCTACTAACCTGTAAAATCGATTAACAAGTCTCATTCGAATTGTGTAAAGATCAGTTGGATAAGCTACTACAGTACAGTACTTCGGGTATGTACACAGATCAACAGGGCCTGCAAAAGCTGCTGCTATATCTGTTAGGGAAGACAGGAGAGTTTTTAATCAATAAATCCATTGCCTTTAGTGGCACTTCTCTAGAAATCATTCATAAGATATGGCTACATTTAACATTACAGACTAAATTAAAAGATAACCAATACAAAATGTAGAAAAGAACAGAAACCTCAATTATGCTAGTGTTTTTAAATACCTTTATGAAAAAAATTGAAAAAAAATTTTCATCCTAAACAAACAAAAAAAACTTACCAAGATTCAAAAGTTGATCTATACCACTGATAATTCTATCACATTCTTCATCTCTTGATTTCTGACCCCATTCACCAGCTTGTGGTTTATACAGCAATTTCTCTAGCTCATCTGATGTGACAGAAATACTAGCTCCTAATTCTTCAGGTGGATCAACTATATATACCATAAAAAACAAAGAGGGGAAGAAAAAAAACAAAAAATAAATATATACTGTATTAAAATTCAGTTTTCAAAGCTTATAAAACTAGGTTATCTCCACAGTCAAAAATAGAGTTCAAATGTGCAACTCTTTTAAAATTACTCACTGAGATCAACAGATTGCTTACATTCAGGTAAAAACACAATCTACCTACCCTAACAAATTAAAAATTAAAAATAAGAGTGCCAGTATTGCAGTTTTCAGTCTATTTCTTCAAGGAGGCAAACTTAACCCCAAGGCCTCTGAAAACACAAACTGAACCTGACAATATTCAAAATTTTAAGCTTACATACAGTTCCAAGCCGGGCACGGTGGCTCAAGCCTGTAATCCCAGCACTTTGGGAGGCCGAGACGGGCGGATCATGAGGTCAGGAGATCGAGACCACCCTGGCTAACCCGGTGAAACCCCGTCTCTACTAAAAAATACAAAAAAAACTAGCCGGGCGAGGTGGCGGGTGCCTGTAGTCCCAGCTACTCGGGAGGCTGAGGCAGGAGAATGGCGTGGACCCGGGAGGCGGAGCTTGCAGTGAGCTGAGATCCTGCCACCGCACTCCAGCCTGGGCGACAGAGCGAGACTCCGTCTCCAAAAAAAAAAAAAAAGTCAAGTCAAAATGGATAAAATAATCCCACATGACAAATGGCTAATTTTCTTAAATTTTAAAGCTCAAGTGAAACAGACTGGTATTTTTTGAAAAATAAGGAGAAGCGGGTGGGGTGAATGACGCCTGTATTCCCAGAACTTTGGGAGGCCAAGGTGGGTGGACTGCCCAAGGTCAGGAGTTCAAGACCAGACTGGCCAACATGGCAAAACCACGTCTCTACTAAAAATACAAAAATTAGCCAGCTGTGGTGGGGCACGCCTGTAATCTCAGCTACTAGGGAGGCTGAGACAGGAGAATCACTTGAACCCGGAGGCAGAGGTTGCAGTGAGTCAAGATTGTGCCATTGCACTCCAGCATGGGCAACAGGGCGAGACTGTCTCCAAAAAAAGAAAGAAAGAAAGAAAAAGAGAGAGAGAGAAAGAAAGAATCTGAGGAAGCTGAGAATATTTTAGCTTATTGAATATCAGTTCTAACATAAAAATAAGAAATGTCATCTACTGTGTACTGACTACCAGAGCACGTTCACAATGAGGGAACAAGGGCATTGGGAAGTGCCTCATTTTAACAGCTGCTAAATGGTGGAGAGAATGCTCATGGGAGCATTTCCTCTAGAACCATATCCGTTAAGATTCCTGCAAACATACACACAAGTTTTATACAGAGCATCCTTTGGGAATGCTCTTAACTTCAATAAAGTTGACCTATTAGAATTAACTCATATGATGTAGTCTTTCAGCTGAGAGATGGAAATTTTTTAAACATGGATGATAAATGATTCCTATAAGCTTATAATTCATGTTCTTGCAAAAAGAAAAAGGATTTCCATTTTATTTTCTGCATGAACATAAAAGAGATGTGGGGGAAGAGGGCGGAGACATCCCACTGCCCTAATAAGCTAAAATGTGTATTTTTATACTGTAATTCACAGTTATGCTTTCAATATTTTATCTCATCAAAAGGAAGAGGAAAGAGGCTGTATGGACAGGCAACATAAAGTGCTTTAAAAAACACTGGTTTATCAAAGCCGGGATATGAGTTCAAATCACATCTATACCACCTAAAAACTGTGACTTTGGGCAAGGGGTGTGGGTGGGTATGTTTTGGTAGGGAGAAAGTGGTGTGTGTGCGTGTCTGTTTTAATGGGGAGAAAAGGGATCTCACTATGTTGCCTGGACTGGTCTCCTCAAGTATTCTGGTGAACACTGATCAACCCACATGCGTGAAGAAACGACAGGAAGCCAGGAAAAGAACCAAATGAAAGATCTGTGATAACAAAGGCCTGATGCACAAAAGGGCCAGCAACCATGCCTGTTCTCCCCAGCCAGACTGAAAAGCTGCATGATTCACAGAGCAATGGATAGACTGCATAAAAGGGTCTTGCCTAAGAAGTCAGAAGTAAATCAGTTCTAGGATAAGCACTGCTCCAAACCCATCTACCATATCTTAAAAAGATAAAATTGTTTCCGACTAGCTTAATTGTGTGACAGAACAAAGTTTAACCCTTACAGGAATACAAAAATATACAGCACCCAACAAGGTAAAATTCACAATGTCTGACATAATATTTAAAATTATAAGGCAGGTAATATATTAGGAAATACCCATAATGAAGAGATTAATGAACCAACCAGAATTGTCACATATGTTAGAATTAGCAAAGACATGTAGTTATTATATTACACATGTTCATTAAAAACATATATAAATGGAAGACATGAAACACAACCAAATCCAACTTTTAGAGATGAAAACCACAAGCAATAAGGTGAATACTATAATACATTGGCTGGTGAGAAAAGCAAATAAGACATTCCAAAAGAAAATATAAACATATAATATAAAAATATAAAAAGATTCAACACCAGGCATGGTGGCTCATGCCTGTAATCCCAGCACTTTGGGAGGTCAAGGCAGGGGGATCACTTGAAGTCAGGAATTCAAGACCAGCCTGGCCAACATGGCAAAACCCTCTCTCTACTAAAAATACAAAAATTAGCCAGGCATGGTGGCACACACCTGTAGTCCCAGCTACTAAAGAGGCTGAGGCAGGAGACTCACTTGAATCTGGGAGGTGGAGGTTATAGTGAGCCGAGATTGCACCACTGCACTCCAGCCTGGGTGACAAAGCAAAACTATGTCTTAAGAAAAAAAAAAATTTCAAAAGAGCACAGTATGTGTTATTCATTTCTGAATGTATATAATCATTGAGGGGAAAAACTAAATCTTTTTTTTCTCATAATGGCTATTTCGTGCCTAACTTGATGCCCCCCAAACGGTAGGCATTCAGGAAATGTGTATGAAACAAATATGTGATGTACTTATATGATTTACTCTGTAAGTGTAGCTAATATTTCATGAAACAAAGCAATAATAACTAATGTTTTCAAACATAAAACTAAAAAGATGTATATGGAAAAAATTTTACACTAACATAGTGTAGACACAGCAATAAAAATTATCCTAATGAAACAGTAAAAGAAAATAAAACAAAACAAAAAAAAACAAAACCAGAAAAGCCCCGAGATACAGAGACTATTTAAGGGAACAGAAGAAATTATGATATCCAAAACTAATGGATAACACAGTTAAAAATGAGTAAAGAATCTGAATGTTTCTCAGCCAGGCTCAGTGGCTCACGCCTGTAGTTCCACCACTTTGGGAGGCCAACGCAGGCAGATCACTTGAGGCCAGGAGTTCAAGTCTAGTATGGCCACCATGGTGAAACAGCTGGGTGGCACATGTCTATAGTTCCAGCTACTCAGCAGGCTGAAGCACAAGAACCAACTGGGAGGTGGAGGTTGCAGTGAGTCGTGATTGCACCACTACACTTCAACCTGAGCAAAGAGGGAGACTGTCTCAAAAAGAAAAGAAAGAAAGAAAAGAAAGAAAAAGAAATTGAACATTTCTACAAAGACATAAAAATGACCAGTAAGCAAAGGAAAAAATGCTCAGTATCATTAGGCATCAGAGAAAGGCAAATCACAACCACAATAATACTTCCTATAAGTTAAAAAAAACAAGTGTCCAGGATGTGAAAAAACTGGAACACACATACACTGCTGCTGGAAATGTAAAATGGTATCCCTGCTCCAAAAAACCATCTGTCAGCCCTCAAAAGGTTAAACAGAGTTACCATGTAACCCAGCAAAGCCACTCATACATATGTACCCAAAAGAAAAAAGACTTGCACATGAAGTTCACAGAAACACTATTCATAGCCAATTAATGGAAGCAATCCAAATGCCCATCAACTGATAAATGGATAAATACAATGTGTTATATCCATACAATGGAATATTATTCATCAATAACAAGAAATATCTTGGTTTCTAAATGCCATTCTCCAATGAAACAGGCCACGGCCACCGAAAAACTGCCTGATTCCACAGCTGAGGTAGGGAAACTACAAGGTGAGCCTTGAACACTGAATAGTGCCAGAAGCTATGAAAACACTCAAAGGCGATTTAAAAGAAACTATCAAATGGACATAGGAGTCAACTTGAAGAGGTTCCCAGTGGCCAAATCTGCAATAAGGTAGCAACAAAATAATGATAACAATTGAGCACTGATTTTATTTTACAAAAATCTGAGTACATACTAATATAAATAAATGGGAAAGGAGGTGTATCTTATAGTAGAATTCTAACTAATAAATATAAGACAATGGAAAAAAATCATTATTTGAGGCAAGAATCATCAACGGATGCTACAATTAGTGAGTGGAGCAGGATAAGAAACAGGATTATTTGCAACGCATAAATATATCCCCATGGGACACTAATTACAATGGAAAAAGTATTTACTTCACACTGGAGACACCTGACACATACCCCCTAAATCAAACTATTAAAGTTAACACTCAATTAATGGACAGATTGACATCATGTGCCTCCTAAAATAATGCACTGAGAAAGACACATTACTTCTCTGACATTCTTGCCAAAAATGCAAAACCTAAATTTAATCGAGAAAAAACATCAGACAAACCCAAACTAATGGAAATGGTATAAAATAACTGCCCAGTAATCTTCAAAAGCCTTAAAGTCGTGAAAGACAGTGAAAAACTGAGGGATACCGGATTAAAGAAGACTAAGACGACATGACAATTAAATCCAAAATGTGAAAGGATATTAGTGAAACAGACAAAATCTGAATAAAGTCTATAGACAATAGTATCATGTTAATAATAATTTCCTGATTTTGATCACTGCAATGTGCTAGCTGTATAAGAAGGGAAATCTAGGTATTTAGAAAATCCTTGTACTATTTTTGTAACATTTTTTAAGTCTGAAATTATCTCAAAATGAAGTTTTTTAAAGTGCTATAAAAAATGGAGAGTACACAGGCCTGGCGCGGTGGCTCATGCCTGTAATCCCAGCACTTTGGGAGGCCGAGACGGGCGGATCACAAGGTCAGGAAATTGAGACCATCCTGTGAATGGTGAAACCCCGTCTCTGCTAAAAAAAAAATACAAAAAATTAGCCGGGCGTGGTGGCGGGCACCTGTAGTCCCAGCTACTCGGGAGGCTGAGGCAGAAGAATGGCGTGAACCCAGGAGGCAGAGCTTGCAGTGAGCCGAGACTGTGCAACTGCACTCCAACCTGGGCGACAGACGGAGACTCCATCTCAAAAAAAAAAAAAAAAAAAAAACGGAGAGTACATATTGAAAAGAAGTATCAAAATGCAGATATTCCGAGATTTTCTTGAAAATTATAAATAAAAAGAGAAAAACATCAAAGGATGTTACAAATCAGTAAAAACACTTACATAAAGAAAGCCTGGTGGTGAACAAAATGGAAGCAGGAGATATAGAGTACCCTTTCAAAAAGTTTAGCAAAAGGGAAATAATTTAGTAACAAAAATGATTGATGAAGTCAAATGTAAGGTATAAGAGACATATTCAAACCTGACTGGAGAAAGGTAGGAGGAAATTAAAATTGTTGAAGGGGATGAGCTAAGTGTAGGTACCAGGCCCTTGGAAGGCAACAGCAGTGGGATGGTAGCACTGGAGAACAGGCTGGCTTTAAATAGTTGTCTATTTCTCACAGGAAAAGAATAGAAAATCCATAATAAGACAACTTGAGGTAAGGCAGAAGACGGAAGTCAAGTTTGATCTTTTCCTTGAAGGAAGACCAAAGGTAAAAGATTAAGAATGAGGTAGGAAAAGTAGACGCTACATGAAGGATTTACGTTTTTTGGATTTTGTTGTTGCTGTTTTTCTGAGATGGAGTCTTGCTGTCGCCTAGGCTGGAGTGCAGTGGCCGCGATCTCAGCTTACTGAAACCTCTGCCTCCCGGGGTCAAGCGATTCTCCTGCCTCAACCTCCCAAGTAGCTGGGATTACAGGCACACGCCACCATGTCCGGCTAATTTTTTGTATTTTTAGTAAGACATGGGGTTTCACCATGTTGTCCAAACTGGTCTCAAACTCCTGATCTCAAGTGATCCATCTGCATCGGCCTCCCAAAGTGCTGGGATTACAGGCATGAGCCATGGCGCCCAGCCAGGAGTTAAGTTCAATGCAGGGTTACATGAGAAATGACAGCAAACTACTAAGGTATTTATTTATTTATTTAAAAATAAAATGTTTTCATTATTTAACAAATATATATACCATTATCAGGAATTGGTTCCATGTCCCATGGGCTAAGTTTTTCAATTTCAGTATTATCCCACCTGTTAAAAAACAACAAATCTCTGGTTAGCCTTTCATGAAAACAAAATGTGGATAATAGGTATCCATTATAAAAGTAAAAGATACAAAATATGAAAATTAACCTCACTGCAACAATACAATTTTAAATATTAACAGTAAATTTTTTTAAGAAGGATATATTATTAAAATAACAGGTTTAAGAACAAAACCAGAAATCCTATGCGGCTTGCACCCAAAGTGAACAATAACTCAAAGACAAGGCATGAAGCCTTGAATTCCACCACAGCCACAATCAGTGGTTTTTATTCCATTGCCAATGAAAAGGCATCAAAGGTTTATTTGAAGAAGATTAATGATATAATATCTGCTTCTGAACTAGGACACTGACAATACGAGGCAAAGGAAATGTGGCTACAGAAATAGTTCCAGGGAAGCAAGCAGAACCTGAACCAAGGGGAGTACTAGTGAATAGGAAACAAAGGGAAGGTGCATGTCTGAGAGACATTTCAGGTCAGCCTGACATGACTTAATGACAGATAAAAACCATGTTTTTTTTAAAAACCAGAAATGTATTATTCATACAACAACCTGCCACACTGAATTACTTGTAAATGATTAGTTTTCATCTGTATACAAACCTAACAACATAACACTGGAAATGACTATCAGGATACTGTGGTTGATATGGCTCTTGACTTAACACTGTTCCAAACCACCAAGCATCATCAATAATAGAGCGGAATCTGTCACCTAGGAGAGAAATGATCAAGTCTGAGGCATTTCTCTGCTAACACTCATTAACATTTTTTAATCTACAAAATACCATATGATACAGATAAAAAAGAAGCCAAAATCGCAATACAAAAACAGGCAAGCAGAGCTCCTAAACAAACCAAGAAAAATATGGAATAAAAAAATTAACATTTAGATTAAATGGCTTTCTAGATGTATTCAACAACTCTAAGACTAAGACTTCGACCAGTGAAATAAACTGCACTAGATCTGTGTTTAGCATTCATTACTATACAAACATGAACTGCTGTAGTAACTATATCTCTTCCCTCTTACCCTTCCCACCATTTACAAAACAAAACCAATTAAAAGAAAGAACAAAAGTCACCTATCCAGCACTGATGATTCTTCGGTATATAGATCAACAATTCTTTTCTCAAGGGAAGTTTTATAGAAACAAATCAAAGTTAAAGCTACAATTTATCCCCAAGAAAGAATATAATATACCTGGCAAACGGTCTTGAATAATTAAAGTATGCTTACAGTGAGTTCTTCAAAGGTTTAAAAAAAATAATGCCACAACTACTAGACCTACATGTTTTAGTCTTTAGTATATTTTCAAACGTATGTAAACATGAGTTTTACATATATTTTACTTCAAAATCACTTGAAACCATAGCCCCTGAAAGAAATCTAAGGAGACTGTTACAGCTTTAAACTTATAATTTGAGATAAACCACACTATGATTTTGTCCAAATCTCTAATACCCTAATTTAATAAACATTAATTACAACTGAATGTAATAATAAATTATTGTAATAAAAATCAGCTGCCTCAATTTTGAGGCCTAATACAAAAACATGTTAGGAGAGTGAGTCTTTGATATAAAAAATTAAGTGTATATTTTTCTTGCTATTTACCTAATACTAGAAGATAATTTCAGTTTAGATAAAAATATTTCTTCATACAAAAACAACCCTTTAAATAAAAAGGAGCCTTTAAAAATTAAGTTTTCTCATAATAAAAGTGTCTTTTCTATGTCTTTGCTAGCTGATCACCCTGGTAATCTTATGTTAAGACTTTTCAAATAAACCTACTTTGGCCTTTCAAGAGAAGGATTAAAATCCACTGCAAAAATGAAAACAAGCAAATTCTTCTTGCCATACTACTCAAATTCCATGCAAAAAGGTAAGAGCAAAAATGGGGGAGCAAAATGAATTAAAGTGTAGTATTAACACGTCTGGTCCAGTAATTTCTCAACCACAAAAATAAAACAAAAACCTCTAAATTACAGGAGGCATTTGGGACTCCATCTCTAGAGTTTAACTGTAGATAATTCAGTTTTAAAAAAATTTAATGGACATGTTGGCAAAAATGAGAGCCTCTTTTTTGCTCTCATGGGGACTGAAAAATCATAATAGCTGGGAAACTTTAAAGTTATTTGGAACACAACTATACAACCTGCTAATGTTGCTTCATGTTATTTTTGTGGCTGTATGTTTTTCTTCAAGAAAAATTTTCTCTTCATCTACTCCCAAAATAATCCTGATTACTTGTGTAGATATTACCAGGACAATAATCTATAAAGAGGAGCCACATGCCCTGACAATCTTTCATGTCAGATGAGGATGATGAGGGACTTTATCTAAAATTTGCCGCCTTGTAGTACCCACAGAAAAAGGTAGCAATGGCCAGATATGGTGGCTCACGTCTGTAATTCCTACACTTTAGGGAGGCTGAGGCAAGAGGATTGCTTGAGCCCAGGAATTCAAAACCAGCCTGGGCTAATACGGCAAGACCCTGTCTCCACAAAAAAATTAAAAATTAGCTGCACATGGTCGTGCACACCTGTGGTCCATCTACTCAGGAAGCTGAGGTGACAGGATCACTTAAGCCCAGGAAGCTGAGGCTGCAGTGAGCTCTGATTGCATCACTGCCCTTCAGCCTGGGCAACAGAGCAAGACCTTGTGTTCAAAAACAGAAGAAAAGAAAGAAGCTGCAGTAACTAGAAAGATCAATGTCTTAATATCATTTATGAATGTGTACACCAGATGACACAGCCTGGGTAAAACTTAGTATTTCCAACAAAAATCCAAGAACTGATAAAAGAATGAACCATCCTATTTCTAACTCAGTAAACAGGCTCCCAGGATAGCATTCCATACCGAACATATATTTGTACACCTGTGAAACAGGTACTACAGTTGTTATTACCACCCAGCCTAATGACTTCATTCAATTATCCGTTATATCCTGAGATTAATGATCTACACAACTCTGAATTAGCGAGTCCTCCTTAAATGATCACCACAAAAATCACATTCGAGTAATTTAGTGCCTACATTGAGGTACCAAAATTACTCCAATGTGTAATTTTACTCAAATGTGTAAAATTACATTGAGGTAATTTTAGTTTAATTTTTCTGTCCACCTATACATTACATGGTTATAAAGTGTAAGTGTATATGCATTTTTTATTTCTTAATGAAACAGTGTCAAGTCTTCTCATTTAAGTCTACACTGTTACGATATCAAGGGTGAAATACTTGGGTATACCAGAACATTTTCAGTGTGAAATCTGAAATTACTTTTCAGCCTTCTGATCATTCTAGATCCTGGTATAATTGTATAAATTATACCAATGTTACATCAAAGATAATTATATACAATATAGTACAAGGAAGTCTGAAAGGAAGTATGTCTACTCTGGCCTATAGTCAAGGAGTGAAAATAATCTTTTCCAAATGTTATGAACCAGAAGAACAGAAGAAAAGTTGCTTGTCTAAAAAGTCTACATAATCGGGCCGCACACGGTGGCTCACGCCTGTAATCCCAGAACTTTGGGAGGCAGAGGTGAGTGGATCACGAGGTCAGGAGTTCAAGTCCAGCCTGACCAACATGGTGAAACCCTGTCTCTACTAAAAATACAAAAATTTGCTGGGCATAGTGGCACGCACCTGTAATCCCAGCTACTCAGGAGGCTGAGGCAAGAGAAGCACTTGAACTGGGAGGCGGAGGTTGCAGTGAGCTCAGATCACGCCATTGCACTCCAGCCTGGGAAACACAGGGAGACACTGCCCGACCTGCCCCGCCGCCCGCCAAAAAAGTCTGCATAATCAGTAAGTACCAAGTGTTAAGTAAAATATATTTATAGGTCACTTATATCTCTTCCAGTATTTACATGTTTGTATACACTATAAGTAAGAGTCCCACAGCCAAAAAGTTAGACCAATAAAACATGAGATTAATTTTTAAGGGTATATAAAACTTAGTAAGGATAGACTTACAAGACTGCCAATTCCTCTGTCTTGCTTCATCATAAAATTGACGCAATACAAGAAAGTCAATAACATCTGGCATATCATGATATCTAGACAAAAATTTAAAAAATCATTAAACTCTCTACATAGCAGGTTATATAGTCTAAAAGCAACACTGTCCAAAAGAAACATAATGAGATCTACAATTGTAATTCTCAATTTTCAACCAGCTATATTTTAAAAGTGAAATTTTTAAAAACCAGTAAATTTCATACCATATTTTAAATACATCCAAAATATTTCAATATGTAATCAAAACGAGATATCTTACATATTTTTTCTTCATAACTAGTCTTCAAAATGCAATGTGTACATTCACAACACATTCATTTCTTTTAAAAAAAAAGTTTATCCCTCATACTGTGCCAAGTCTCATTTAACACATTTAATTCAAATCATCCACATTTCAAGTGAGCAACAGCCACATGTGACTAGTGGTAACCCTATTAGGTGTAGGAAATTATTTATTCTGAATTTTTTCAAACACAAAGGGCAGAAAAAATGTGGCCTATATGTCAGAAATCTCCACCTATGTAAGTGGCATGAAAACCATATAAAACAGACTGCCCACACTTAACCATAACTGTGACATGCCTACTATGACTTCAGTGTGGGAGATGGGTTTCCTAGCCATCAGAAACTCGAGCCACATCTTAGGCTATCCACAGTGCTCTACTAGTTACCCTGGAGTTGAATGGGAAGGGCATGCTAATCATTACATCAGCAAAATGGCAAATTTAAATTTAAATAATTCCATTTTAAAAAATAATACATACCTAATAGAGAAAGATTTGTCCATAAGTTTTCCAGTTGCTGGATCTATAAATGCTAGTTTGAGGCAACAGAGTGTAGGGGGCCCAACTTCATATCGTATTCCAACTATTTTAACCAATTCTTGATCCTTTAACAGACATATATTTTTAATGGTTAAAATAAAAGCAATTCCTTAATACTATAATTCTCCACATACTGTTATATTAAGTAAACTCATAATTTAGGCTTCCAAACCAGCAGACAAGTTTAATCAATACCATTAATTACATTCAATTTTGCTAATCTCCACATATTTAATATAGTTTCTAATACAAAGAACATCCTTTAGAAAATACACTATAAAAGTATAAGACTGAAAACACAAATCTCTGATTAGCGTAATATCTAACAACAACCGCTGTTAAAAATCTAACATATTTCCTTCTGGCTTTGTTTTGGAAACAGGGTCTCACTGTTCTGCCCAGGCTGGAGGGCAGTAGCACGATCATGGCTCACTGCAATCTCAAACTCCTGAGCTCAATCAATCCTCCCACCTCAGCTTCCCCAGTAGCTGGGACTGACTACAGGTACAACATGCCACCACACCAAGCTACTTTTTTATTATTTGTAGAGACAGGGTCTCCCTATTTTGTCCAGACTAGTCTCGAACTCCTGGGCTCAAAGTGATCCTCCCACAACAGCTTCCCAAAGCTCTGGGATTATAGGTGTGACCTGCCACACCCAGCCAATGCACATTTCTATTTATATAGTTTTATATTATGCAGTGAAAATGTGTAAGCATTCTACTTATTCCTAAGTGTTCTTCAAAATCCTGATATTAAATTTCTGCCTAATACATTAAGTAATATTTGTTGAGAATCTACCATATACTATGACCTCTTCTAGGCAGTAGGGACAGGAAACAGGTGAAAGTCCCTACCTGGATGGAGTATCCATCAAATGGATTTGCCATAGTCAACCCTCCCCTCAATGTCTGCTTCTCTGATACTAGGAATACAACAGATCATTCATCCACTTATTCACTGAACAAATGTTATTATTATAATCTACCAAAGTGCTAAGCATAGTTCCCATCATTCACAGTAGTTATGTTCTATAAAGTCATCTAGAACACGAAAATACTAAATCGGTGCTGTAGAGGATATACAGGGATAGGCTCCTGCAAAATTCTGGTCCCAACACTGTAGTAAACCAGCATGTACATAACCTGGCTTTATGTGTTTCTGTTTAAAGGTACCTTATTTAATATGCTGTTGATCTGCAAACACTTAACTGATACCTGAATGAAGCTTGTCTAACACACTTTCTCCATAAGGCACATCTCAGCCTTCTAGCACTTAAGAACACTAGACAGCATGTCAGCACTATACTTAGGGGCCATTTTAAACAGCAAAGTGACCACAAAAAGCACAAAAATGGAAAATATGTGGCACTGAACAGACCATGAAAAGGACACTTGTTTGCAGTGCGAGAGCTAAAAAAAGAAGGCAGAGCAACACCTTGTTCAACCTCAACTAGAAACATGCTCGTCAGGCAAGTCAAATTTTTCACCACCCTGAGCATGTACAGAAATGACCAAAAGGCTCCAAGAATACTGTTTTGGGGATTACAAATAAAGCAAGCATGCAGTTCACAAATACAGAATCCAAGAATAATGAGGATGGACTGTACTTAGGTACATAGTCCTAAGTTAGACATAAATAAAACCTCAAATGTATATAAAGCCTAACTCATAGAAGCAGAGTCATTAAGTTGAATATAAGTGTTAAAAACAGCTATCTTTGTTAAAATAATTAGTATTTTCTTCATGTTCTAAGTTTTTAAAAGTATCAAAATGTGCAGAATAAAAATATAAAAAATAAAAAACATGTGTAACACTACCCCACAGATCATCACCATTGACATTTTGATGTTTTTCTTTTGATTGGCTACAAATGTTTTTAAAATTTTGCTATCATAACCAGAAATACAATTTCACGTCCCATTTCTCCTATTAGTAATACACTGTGTAAATGTATCCATCATTCATTCCACAAATATTTTTCAACCTTCAAGTACAAGATGGGCTGTACACAGTAAGTGACTGTGTGAATGCACCATGATTTGGTTAATTCACTATTGTGGAATATTTGATTTTTTTTTCCAGCTTTGTTTCTGTAAACAGTGAGTGAACTACAATACTCATGTATTTACAAGCATTTCTGTTTGTTTTCCAAATTACCAGAGGAGTAAAATCACAGAATTAAAAGTTCCAAATATTTTTCAGTTTCAACTCCTATTGCCAAAATATCCTCTAGAAAGCCTGGACCACTTCACACACCCCACCAGCAATCTGAATAACTGTTAACAAACCAACATCTTTGCCACTTGCTAAAATGTGGAATTCTTTTTTGAGCTAAAAACAAACAAAATCACAAAATTGGCTAAGTACTGAAAAGGTAAAATTATTATTTCCTTATTTTAATATCCATGAGGTTAAACCTTTCTTCCAATTTTTGTTTCTTCTTTTGAAAACTTGCATTTCTCCCTTTGAAAATCTGTCTTGGGTACATAACATTTTTAAGATTGATAATATATATATTGCCAAGCTGCCTTTCTGAAACTCTAGGTTGTTGCATTTAACGTTTTACATACCAATCAGCAACATACAAATTTTGCCCATTGACAAGCCATTCCCACAGGATCTTAAGGTTTGGTTATAGCAGAAATGTTATCAAGTAGGAAAGAAAGTAATAAAATATGTTTCCAACAGGTTTTTAAATAGATTTGTAAATAATTTAACTATATATGTGCTAAAATGTTTAATGATTTAATAATGCCATTGTCCTACCCTAAGATCCATTTTTCTCCATGGCTCCTTATTAGGGTTCAATTCATAAATATTATTTCTTCTCACAGCCTCAATATAAGCTTCATGACCCTGTCGAAAATATATTACCTACAAAAGGGAAATATGCATTTAAAAATTAAGAGCAATATAAATTTTATGTTCCATATTTGTGTTTTTAAATTTGTGTTACTCTCACCTCATCACCCATTTGAGGAACAAAAGGAGATTTTCTAAGTGTGGTGTCAGTAATCCAAACTGGAGGATGAAATTCATATAAATGCTCCATATTTCCAAGCTCTCCTGAAGTCATCCTCCGCAAATTCTACCACCGGGAAGAGAACAAAGTTTCTTAGATTAGAAAGGGGCATGCACTCTTTGAATGAAAAATAAAAGAAACTTCACCATTCAGAATGACTGTTTTTGCCACGTCCATCTAATGATTAGTTTTTACACAGTATATATATTTAGTTCCTTTACGTAGGAATATATCACTTATAAAAAGCATTGTAAATCTACCTACCATTTTCCTAGTATCATCTCCTAAATTTCTCATATATTCTCCGTGCTATTTTACGTCCCACTTTAGGGGGCTAATACCCAACCTAAATCCTCTTTTACACATAGCCTGTTCTGCCAAGACTCCACTCTGAGTATGACCACAGGCTAATCATCACAGGGAGTCTCCTCTTGACTGTAGGTTGTAAGACTGGTGATTTTAAAATATGCCCACAAATCCCCTGATAGTTCTCTCCTCTTCAAGAAGTGGAAGTCTCCTCCTCTTAAGTGTGGACTACACTTAATGACTCACTTCTACCAAATATACTAAAGCAGATGAGATTATGTGCAACTTCTAAGACTAGGTCATAAATGGCACTGGGGCTTATCCCTGGCTACTGTTAAATCATTCACTCTGAGGAAAATCATAACGACACTCAAGCAGCCAGCTAAGGAGAGACCTGTGTGGCAAGGAACTGAGGCCGACAGCCACAGGAATAAGCTCAGAAAGAATAACGTCCAACACTCCTCAAGTCCTCAGATGACTGCAGCCCCAGTCAACATGTTGTAACCTCATGAGCCAAAATCACCCAATTAATCAGCTCCCAATTCCTGATCCACCAATACATGAAATACGCAATGTTTGCCATGTAAACACCTAAATTTTAGGGTGGTTTGTTATACACAGCAATAGATAAACACAACGACTTAACATCTTTAAACAATGACTACCTGCTTGAAATCAGCCCAGTGTACACAAATAAATAGGGATGATATTACAATGAAGAAACAAGTATGAAGACAGACATGTAAAATGAAAATGGTAAATGTAGCAATAACACACACAAAAAGGAAAGCACCTTAAAATTCCTTGAAGTCTACTACTAGTGTTGAAATTGACAGGAGAAAATAAGTGTTGCTGTGAGATTCTGAGCAAAATAGAGCTTTCTCTTTAAGTTTCGGATTTGGAAAGGTTTAACTGTCAAGCTCACTACTCAGAACAGTGGAGGTGGAGAAGTGTTAATAATAAAGTAACGTGGCCAGGCGCCATGGCTCACACCTGTAATCCCAGCACTCTGGGAGGCTGAGGCGGGTGGATCACTTGAGGTCAGGAGTTCAAGACCACCCTGGTCAACGTGGTGAAACCCTGTCTCTATGAAAAATACAAAAGTTAGCCGAGCATGGTGGTGTGTGCCTGTAGTCCCAGCTACTCGGGAGGCTGAGGCAGGACAACTGCTTGAACCCAGGAGGTGGAGGTTGCAGTGAGCCGAGATGGCACCACTGCACTCCAGCCTGGGTGACAGAGTGAGACTCCATCTCGAAATAAATAAATAAATACATACATACATACAAATAATTTTTTAAAAGTTTATGTGTGACTTCATGAAGTGTATCAAAGTCAATCATAAAACAATATAACAATCATTTAAACCAACAATCAAAAGCCTCTGACTGGAATGTATCTTTTTCATTATTTGGTTTTGATATATTAATACTAGATCCTGGGGAAGCAACAATGAGAGATAAAGAAGCATTCCTGGCCCTCAAGAAGCTTACAGTCTACTGGGTAATACAGACACTGAACGAGCAATTACAAGTACAATACAGAAGGAGCTTATGTTTGGGAAGTTAACCTCTTAATGGAGGGATGAGACTTAGAATCTTTTTTACTGTTATCCTATATATTATTAAGAAGGCATGGAAAGCTTAGGAAACAATTACATTAAAGCAACATTTGAGACATGGTAAAGCTGAGGGGGAAAACCACAGCTTTTGATTTGATAAAGATAACCTATATTCTAGTCCAAGACTTTAGGTACTCTCAGAAAGTAACTAAAACTTTATTTTTACTTATCCCTTTGTTTAGATACTTAAACCTGAAATTAAGCCAAAAAGCATAATATGAGACCCCAGAAAACTCACATCCCACTCAACCAACCCAGAGTATTTACAATTTAAATGGGGAAAAAGATTTCAATAGTACTAACAGCTCAGGGAACATGTTAATCAGAAAACTGGGCTAAATACAATGTATTTCAGAAGGTGTTTAAAATTATTTGTATGATTTAACCTCGCCGAAACAAGCTTGCTAGTTTAAAGACGCCTTTATACCAATGCTTCACATCATCAGTGAAAACTATTTATCAAGAGGGAGCAATATGGGGTACAGAAGCATGAACCAAAATCTCACACTAAATCTTTTAACATTAATGGAATTTCAGAGTGAGTAAATATGACTAGAAATTACAGCAATGGCCAGGCACAGTGGGTCTACACCTGTAATCCCAGCACTTTGGGAGGCTAAGGGAGGCAGATCACCTGAGGTCAGGACTTCAAGACCAGCCTGGCCAACATGACAAAACCATGTCTCTACTAAAAATATGAAACTTAGCCAGGCGTGGTTGCGTGGGCCTGTAGTCCCAGCTACTTGGGAAGCTGAGGCAGGAGAATCACCTGAACCCAGGAGGCAGAGGCTGCAGTGAGCCAAGATGGCACCAATGCACTCCAGGCTGGGCGACAGAGACTCCTCTCAAAAAATCAATCAATCAATCAATCACACCGTTGGCACAAAGGACTGCTTTGTTTTAAAACTGCACGTGTTTTGTCTCTAAGGACCTTAATCGACACCCTCAATAACAGCATTCTTATAAATGATAGCCAACTGTAGGTCCTTGCTGTGGTTTCTCTTCTGTGTAAGTGTGTACATCTTTCTCAGTATCATAGTGAACCTTACAGTAAACTGCCTCTCCAGCATTGCTCACATTATTCTGTTCATAGTGAATTCAGCAAGCTAAAAGAATCATGGAATGATTGCTACAGAGATGGTCCAGTGTTTGAAGAAGATTTGTGAATGTTTCTTCTAAATATATGATGTCGGCTCCAAGTATCAGGTCAAAATCTCTACGAGAAAAACTCCCCAAATTCTTTCCCCAAGTCAACTCCTTAACAAAAGCTCTGGGTTGGATACAAGGAGGTAAACTGCCTTGACCATTCGATTTACAAAATTCTAATGCTACTTTTCGATCTGTGATAGTCACATGAGCACCCAGCAGGGCAGCCACTGCCTATCAGCCCTATGCCAGCACCCAGTTTCACTGCGAGGCAGCCCAAGAGCACCACAGCTCCCATCTCCAGATATGTGGAGAAAACCATGGCCACATCCCAAACCACCGTGGCAATTCCCAGTTGTCTCTGGGACTGTCCTGCTGGATCTGTGTCATATGGTTCACAAAGGTGGCAAGAGGCTTGTGGAATTTCTGCAACCCCAATCCCACGGTCTCCTCATAGGGCACCAGGGCCAATCTGCCTGTACCCAGCCCTCTGATCAGACCTGTGCTTAGACAGGATGTTAAAGGTTTGAGATAATCCTGCTTTTTGACACATCCAGAAACATGCAGTCATGGCAGTTCCATCTCAAGACTAGAAGTGAACGACACTGGTGGATGCCAAGTCTCTCGCGGAGAGACCAGGGCCCCAGTCCTGCAAAGGACTCCGCATCTGTGAATCAAAGGCCTCCCCTATAAGTCCCACAAAATCTGCCCCCACCCAACCCTCCAAAGGACTGACAGATGCTCCCTTCCTTCCCACATGCCCCAGAGCTCCTGCTATCCACAGGGGTTGAGAGTAGGAGATAGGGGAGTCCACAGTGCCCTTCAGAATCCCCAAGACACATAAGGTGTCTGCTGCACCCTGAGAGTGCAGATTCCCGAAGGAGGGCTGACAGCTCGCCCAGCCCAGCCCCAGAGCACAGCCCAAGACACCCAAGGCACCACCATGCCAGTATCACGATAAATGTTAAAATAACATCTGAAATAGGGTAAAGCTGGGGTATCACAATACATGCTATTTTTAAAAATACATTTTTCTTACCTCTTTCTTAGGCTTATTTTCTTTCTTTCTCTTTCGTCTTCTTTTCGGAGGAGATAAATTCTCAGTAGATATTTCATCTTCTGAACTACTGCAAAATCGAGTAACTCGTCGACGACATGATGTTCTTAACGGAGGCTGCAAATTGATGCCCGCATCAGCTGTCCAATCGGAATATCTAGATGAAGAGTCACTAGAAAAGGAGAGTGCTTTCAGTTGAATGGAACCAGAATATAAGCAATGATACCAAGTCAATCATATAAAATTGAGGGAACAGAGAGAGGAGAAAAAGGAAAAGGAAGATACCAGAAAGATTTAACTTGAGCATTCTCCCCTCACTACCAACAAGTACTGAAGTGACTGAAAATCATAACAAAGACAGAGAAAAAGAGAAATCTTCACTAACACTATAAATGAAGGAAGGATATAAACCTGAAAAAAAATTTTAAGTATACTGTAGATAAAATATGATGCAAGACAACTAACAATTACTCCTTCAAGGAAATAAAACACAGACTTATGGAAACAGTAAGAATCATACAAAACCCCAAAAATAGGCCCCACCACTACCCCCATGTTGGAGGAAGCTGACATATAGACCAGGAATTCCAACTGGAATCACAAGCCATCAGTGAATACACTGAGAAGCTAAAGGGAAGCACAGTTACACCAAACTGAAAGTCCTAAGTAGTCAGTTTCTTCCCAAGAGGAGTCTCCCTGTTATGACAGCAATCTAAGAAAGAGACTAGTCCTAGCTATACCTTAACGAAATCAGAGTCAAAGAGGAAACTAGTTATAGAAAACTAGTCCCTGGTCCACTACTAGCTTCACCAAACAGAAATAATAATAAAAATAAAGGTCTCTACTTGGGCCATCCTTGGCCCAACTTCAACCAACCACACACCTTTTCATCTCTATCAAATACACACATGAACACATTACAAAAAGGTATTTATTAGAAAAAGAGTGTGTTTATAAAAATTATAAGAGGATCTGTTTTGGATAAAATTCAAGAAAAGTTGAATTAGAAGACAATGAATGAAGACACGGAAGGTACAACAGTGATTGCCCGGGACATGAGGAAGGGTAAAGTGAAGAATCGTTCTTTAAATGGTATAGAATTTCTGTTTTGCAAGATAAACAAGGTTCTGGAGACTGGGTGCACAACTATGTCAATGTACGTAACAGTACTGAACTGCATGCTTTAAATGGTTATGATATTTCTGTTATGTGTATTTTACCACAATTAAATTTGTTTAAAAAAAGATAATATATTATGTTCTTTAAAAAAAAAAAAAAATCATTCTAGCTCCTTGTCATAATGAAGTAAAACAAGACAAGAAAGGAAGCAGAGAGTATGTGATAATGGTTTGGACCAATACAGCACCAATAAAAAAAAAGAAAGATGATCTGAGTGATATTCAGGAAGGAGAATTTTCTAGCCATGTTATGGATAGGTGGACAAGAGAGATTAACGTCCAGTTTTCTGGGTTGAGCGCTTGTTGAGATGAATGAAAGTGACACGCACCAAGATAAGAACCAGAAGCTGACATTTTGGCCCCATGAAATTTGGATCTCGAAACTAACAAAAATTCAACACATGCAATAATAATGAATATACTTGTGGTTTTACCACACATACTTTAGATACTAGTCTTTTTAGGTACAGCCAAGATTAAATTTATATTTTCAGTATGCATGTTCAACAGCACTGGGTCAACTGCCTAAAGTCAACAAAAAACTCCTGAAATACTTCTACAGGAACAGCTGTTAATCTAGTTTTTGTCTCCTTTTAAGTGTATTAAAAACTGTTCCACAGTTGCAAATTCTTGCCTCTTAAATAAAATTCAAGTATGATTCCATCCAAGGCTATGATTAAAATGCTTAAAAGATCACAACAATTAAAAACAGATACCTTGAACTTTCGCTGTAACTTTCACTTTTTCTATCACTTCTCCATTCATCCTCTTCCGAAGAACCAGAACCTTCACTTTGATCACAGGAAGTCTCCTAATTTGTGAAGGGGGAAAAAAATCTTGATCCCTGAAGTTAAATAACACATGTCCAGAAAAAAGCTGTACACAATCCTCCCCAATAAGATTAAATCATCTAAGAAAAATGACCAGTAATCAGTAAAAATATAATTAGATAAACTTAAAAAGCAAACTTCTTCACTACATCCCTTCCTTATCAAAGCATAAGACAAAAAGAGAACATCCATAAGATTTAACACTACCACCATTAGCAAAAAAAGTGATACAATAGGCCATTCTGAGTAAATTTAATAAAAAGTCAATGTAAATGTTTTCCATTTTGGACTTTAGCTATTCTGATAGGTGTATCTGATTGTTTTAGTTTTCAATTTACTATGACATATTTTGGTAGTTTTTCATATGGTTATTTGTCATCTGTCTATCTTCTTTGGTGAGGTGTCTGTTATATCTTCTGCCCATTTTTAAATTAGGCTGCCTTCTTATTGCTTGGTTTTAAGAGTTCTTTGTATATTGTGAATATAAGTCTTTTATCAGATATAAGTTTTACGAATATTTTCTCCTGGTTTGTGGCTTATCTTTTCATTCTTTTAATAGTATCTTTCCCAGAACAGTAGGTTTTCATTTCAGTGTAATCCAAATATTTTATCTTTTTTCTTTCACGATTGTGCTTTTGATACTGTATCTAAAAATGTTAATGCCACACTCATGGACACACAGAGATTTTGCCCTTTGTTATCTTCTAGAAGTTTTATGGGTTTTTTTGTTTTACATTTACATTAAGCTTATGATCCATTTTGAGTTAATTTTTGTGAAAGAACTGGTGTCTAAGATTCGTTTATTTTGTATGTGAATGTCCAGTTATTCTACCACTGGCTGAAAATAATAAATTTATCCACCAAGTTCTCTTTGCTCCTTCACCAAAGATCATTTGAATATATTTGTGTCAGTCTGTTTCTGGGCTCTTTATGTTGTTCCATTGATCTATTGTTTCACCAGCATCACTGTCTTGAAAATTGCAGATTTACAGTAAGTCTTAATGCCAAGTAGAGTGTCAGTCTTTCAGTTTTATTCTTCTTCAGTGTTGTGCTGGCTATACTGCATCTTCTTCCTCTCTATATAAACTTGAAAAATTAGTTTCTCAGTAAAATTAATTTGCTGGGATTTTGTTTGGGATTGTGTTGAATCTACAAGTGATGCTGGCAAGAATTTTTTAACAAGGGTGTGGATCAGCAGGAACTCTCACTCATTAAGGAATGCAAAATGGTACAACCACTTTGGAAGACAGTTTGGCAGTTTCTTATAAAAATAAACATAATAAGATCCAGCAATCACACTTGATGTTTACCCAAATGAGGTGAAAAATTATGTTCGCACAAAAACCTACATCCAGGTATTTATACCAACTTTATAATGCCAAAACTTGGAAGCAACCAACACATCCTTCAGTAGGTAAACTGATAAGCTATGATATGTCCAGACAATGAAATATTATTCTGTGCTAAAAACAACAACAACTACTATCAAACCATGAGAAGGCATGTAGTAAATGTAAATGCATATTAATAAATGAAAGAAGCCAATCTGCAAAGGTTACTAGCTATATGATTCCAATTACATGGCATTTTACAAAGATAAAACTTGGAGACAAAAAATCAGTGATTGCCAGGGGCTGCTGGGAAGAGAAAGATGAACAGGTAGAGCACAGAGGATTTTTAGAGCAATAAAATCATTCTGTATGATATTATAATGGTGGATACATGTCATTATAAATTTGTCCAAACCTACAGAACGTACAACTCCAGAAGGGAACCCTAACAAACTGTGGAGCCTTGGTGTGATAATGTGTCAGTCTAGACTCACTGACTGCAAATGTTCCACTCTGCTGCAGGATGTTCAAAGTAGGGGAGACTGAGCATGTGACCAACAGTAAAAAGATAAACGGTTGACAGGAGTTCAGGGGTATGGGTGGGGGAATGAGTAAGTGTAGCACAGAGCATTTTCAGGGCAGTGAAACTATTCGGTATAATACTATTATGATAGATACATAACACTGTGCATTTGTCAAAACCCACATAACTGTACAACACAAAGGGTGATTCCTCCACCCCATGTAAACTACAGAATTTAGTTATAATGTAATAATATTCATTTCAACAGCTAGAGCTTGAACTAACTCAAAAGGTTAATAGGAGAAACTTTACAGGACAGATAGAGTACATAGGAACTTATTGTGCTCTTAAAAATAAAGTTGCTGTGGGTTTTTTTTAAGTCAGTGAAGAGAAAACAGGGAAACAAGACTGCCTGATTCCTACAATCCTAACAGCTGAAGTCTTCTTTAAGTTCTGGTCATGGATTCTAGGCAGGTATTTTTAAATTGAGACATCAACTTTTCTTGTAGCATTACCATTTATATTAGGTGTATCTATAACGGATAATGAAAATGCCATTAAGAATCAAAAACTGACCAACCAAATTTCAAGGAAACATCTAACTTTGCTTATTTCATCTGAATAGGCAAAATCAAAGCCAACATATTCTTAAAAACTGTTTCTCAAAATGTGAGTAAATGCTACTCTAGGAATACAGATCCTAAGGCCTACTGCTCTAGAACTACTGAACAAAACTCTGCTTTTTATGCTCAAAGTAGACTTTTTTTTTTAATAACAGTAATATAAAGACCCTTTCTTAAAAGCTACTACCTGAAATTAGGCACCCTGTGAAATGTTTTATCTGTATTATCTCAACTAACTCTCAAAACACTTCTGTAAGCAAAGAAGTTAACATAAAGCTAATAATACTAAAGTTTTGGAAGCTCACAATTTAACTTCTAATTTTATCTAAGCCCTGGTGCCTATTTGTAATTTTATTAAAGAAGGTCCCTAAAATTATATCAGCTTCTAACCTCACAAAACCTAGATCTTTGCCTGTGAGTTTTGTGTTACCTCCCAAGTTCTTACCTGCCCACTACTAGCTCTTTATATACACCAAAACCTAAGGCTAAGAAATGTGAAGTAATGTGTCTAAAGTCACAGGAAAGTAAGTATAAGAATTGGAATTAGAAACTAGGGCTAACTCTACAGCCCATAGTTTTTCTAAACCAAAACTGAATGGAACCAACACATACATACACATTGCCATCTCCACACCTCTGCAAACAACGTAGAATGAATTCATACCACAGGTGGAGAACAGTTTACCACAACACAAAACCAGGATTTATTTTAAAAGGTCAAGTAGATTTAATATTCTACATTATTTATCTTTGTCTTAGTGCAGTAGTACTCCTTTATCCACAGGAGATACATTCCAACTGCCCCCCAACTCTGCAAACCCCGCAGATAGATGAAATGGTGGACAGTACCCTAACTCTGTATATACTGTTTTTACCTGCACATGCATACCTATGATAAAGTTTAATTTATAAATCAGACACAGTATGGGAACAATGATAAAGCAGAACAAATAACAATACACTGCAAAAAAATTATGTGAATGTAGTTGCTTTCTCTCCCTGTCCAAATACCTTATTCTCAAAGTATCTTATTGTACAGTACTCACCGTTTTTCTTGTGATGTCAATCTGATAACTGACTGACAAGTAGGTAACACATAGATATGCTGGACAAAGGGATGATTCCTGTCCTGGGCGGGCCAGAGCAGGACAGTTTAAGATTTCATCATGCTACACAAAATGGTGTATAATTTAAAACTTACAAAATGTTTAATTCTGGAATGCAGCATTTAATATTTTCAGAACACAGCTGACCACAGGTAACTGAAACCTTGGAAAGTGAAACCAGGAATAGGGGGGACTACTGTATTTTTAAAGATCTGCATTAATTGAAATTATACCAAATAGATATAAATAGAAAAATCATAATATTACTAATAATTTTAAAAGAAAATACCAGACAGTCATTCCTCATTTTTTTAAAAACAGCACTCAAAATAGGTAATAATGGAAACAATGGAAAACTGAAAAAAAAAAAAAGGCATTAGCTGAAATCTCCCTATCTTATATATATGTATCTCATATACATATATACATGATAAAGACCTAAAATAAAGCATCTTAATGTGAAAATGGTAGAAACAATAATATCATCAACAACAGTAAGATGGTCCACTATATCCACCATTATTCACCATCGTAAGTACTAAACACACAATACAATTAGACAAGAGAAATCAGTGAGAGGTATAAAAATTAGAAGAGTACTAGTAAAACTATATATTTTTGTAAATGAGAATATACTTTGAAAACCTCAGAGAAATCAATGATAGAATTAACTCAAATATTCAGTAAGGCAGGATACATAAAAAATTAAACGTATTGAAATCAATGGCTTTCACACACACAGATTATAATTATTTAGAGGATACAATGACAGAGAAAAACCTCACTAACTGACAAGATGGAAGAAAACATCTTCAATATATATGAAAGAACTAACATATCTAACACATAAAGAACTCAAAAACTGAGGGGGAAAGGGAGAGAACAAAGGCACAAGAGAAATGGCTAAAAGACATATATAGACTATTCGTAAAGATTTTCTTAACTCTATAAACATATGAAAAGTTGTTCAACTTCATGCATAATCAGAGAAACGCAAAATAAAACTACACTGAAATAAGCCAAAGACAAAAGGACAAATATTGTATAATTTCATTTATATGAATAATCTAGAAATATAAAATGCTATTCCAGTGAACACACAAATGATAAGAAAGCAAAATAGCCATATGGCTAATATGGAGAAAGTTTTGGTGGTCTGGATAGAGGGTCAAACCAGCAATAACATTCCCTTAAGCCAAAGCTTAACCCAGAGCAAGGTCCTAACTCTCTTTAATTCTATGAAAGCTGAGAGGTGACAAAGCTGCAGAAGAAAAGATGGAAACTTGCAGAGGCTGGTTCATGAGGTTTAAGGAAAGAAGAAGGCATGCCCATAACATAAAAGTGTAAGTGTAAGGTGAAGCAGCAAGTGCTTTAACGGAGAACCTGCAGCAAGTGATC